ATACAACTCACTTTGGCGGTAGGGGGTATATGGGTTTAATTATGGGTCTAATAATGTGGGTGCATTTAATATCCGTATGCTTGTTCCCCTTTTCCCTCTTTTATATGTCCCTCGTTGAGTCTCCCAGTAGTTCTGCGCTTCCTCCTGGTGATGTTGAGTTGATTGTTGACTTTTTTTTTATTTTTTTGTTGGATGATTTAGGTGTTTAATGATAAGTTATTATCTGTTTTTAATGTTTATAATTGTTACGCGACGCGCCCGGAGAAAGATTTAAGTTTATTAGTTTATAAATATGTATATGTTTGTATGTTTTTCCTCACTGTTTTGTAATGTCACATACGCACTTGTATTTGTGCGTATGTATGTATATAGCTATATACAGTAATATGGCACTGTGCACTTTAATTTCTCCGATATATGTATGTACATATATGGATCTATATCACTTTTATACGTTTTATTGTTGGCAATGCACTGTATAATTTTTTATTTTTTGGTGCCGTTCACTGAGGCTACGGAGGACCATGAACAGTGGATCACTATGGTCTATGGAATTTTTACTGTAGCTTATCACTCTTGTCACTTACGTTTTCCGCTTTGCATAAGAAAGACACGGGGAACTTTTCGTTAAAATGTAAATTTGAGGAGGTTTATTCAAAAAAATCGGGGGTTGTTCGGACACGTCCGCACGCAGGAAAATCTTAACAATTGTGTTTTACAAAATCAACCGTTTTTTCTGACATTTCTTTCTGTCTCAAGTATGTGTGTGTATTACATGTGTATTGTGTGTACAAAGTAAGTAGATAAGTAAAATGTCAAAGTGTTTTGTTGAATATGTGTAGATGTAGGTGCGTGTTAGGATGTGGTACTGATGGGGACATCTGTGGGCGCCTGTTGGCGATAGTTTCGCAGGCGGAAGTGCCAGCGTTGCCGTCGCGAAAGGACCCATTTAGCCATCCCGGCCCCCCTAGGCGTATACTTAGCCTAGTAACCGCTGTAGTTGCTGCAACGTCTCTACCACGTTGCCAAGCCCGGTTGGGCGGCGGTGGTGCGACCTGGACGATTGTTGGCTGCGGTGGGATGATGGGGGGCATGGGCGGTAGTGTGCCGACGGTGGTCTCCGAACGAGGACGTTCTGCCGCGCATTATGATGTCGGCGTCGATTAGCCGGAGCTGGAGCTGGTTGCGGTCTTCGCACGGGAGTACGCCGTGGACCCGATGGGAAATGATGGAACAACGTATGATGGTGTCGTTGACATACGTGACACCGGCTAGGAGAAGTACACTCCCATGTCATGTGAGACAATGCTAGGCAATTTAAGCAGTGCCCGTGTGCCCGCGCTACTTGCCGCCGCTGGGCTGGTTGCAGGCCCCGAAAGATTGCACAGGCGCTCAATGCGTGGCGCCGATGACATAGACCACAAAGAAGCACGCCTTGGTCCAATTCATCCGCTAGGGGCGGTTCGAATGCTGTGGGTGCAGAGGATGCTGAGGGTGCGCCTGGTGGCGCTGCGGTTGCTGATGTTTCCGCTCGACGAACGCTTGGACGAGGGGGTGGCACTGGAGTTGATCCGGCGAATGACGTGGCAGATCGTGTTGCCGCAATCGGTGGTGCTGATGCACGTGGTGCTACTGCTGCATTGGACCGGACTGCCGGCGTAGGATTGAAAGAGGGGGTATCCATGTGAACGTCCATTTCTATAGGAAGAAATCGCGACTTTAATTTTGGGTAGAAACTTTAAATGGCGGTTAGTGG